GCAGAGCTGCTTCTTGAGAGGAGTGCTGAAAGAAGTCACTCTGTGTTACTGCCCATAGTAGGCCATGGAAGGGCTCTGAAATGACTTGTTTCAGTTTTGAAACCTTTGGTTATATTGCTTTTAAGACTCTGCATTGTCTTCTGTCTGAAGAAATAGATTTCGGTGACTGTGCTACAATCTAAAGTCTTTAAGTTGTAATGCTGTGCTTTGCTTATTTGAGATTCTAGGAGGTCTGACTTAAAATGTTATTCTTGAAAGCCATCCAGCTAACCGGGCAACCTGCTGTAATATCCAGGTGATTGCTGCTTTTCATCTCTGGTAGGTGATTTGAGGTGGAGTGACTCTCTTCTGATGCGTTACCACCTAGTGAACGTAGAGCACGATGGTCTGCAGTTGTTATGAGTACCCAGTCTCAGAGCAAGCAAATTGCTGCGATGTTAGTGTCATCGCAGGCTTCCCAGAGATTTTTTTCACGTGAGTGTTACAGTGATTCATGTGACTGATGAGTGATGATGAACAAAGAGTTTAAAATGCAGCTTTACAGCTGGATTTTGAGAAGTCGGTAAAAATTAAATACGTGTGTTTTCTCCCCATGAACCAGGAAGGGCCTCAGCACATGTCATGCTTGCCAGAATTGTGTGGAGAGATTAGCCTCTTATATAAAAATAGTAGTGCCGAGAGCCCCATTGTGCCCAGCTATATACAAATAACGTAATATCATGAGATATAAACTTGTAGCTGTATCAAAGCTTCTTGAAATCCTAGCTTGTTCTTGCTCTGTGCCTTAGGGTAGACTTTCACAGCCAGGCTTTTGGCACAGGAAGGATAAAACCAGTGCTTTAAAAGCATCTTCCTAGTTCTGGAATTTACATGTATCTCAAATAGTCTTGTTTTTAAGCACCTTCTGAAAGTTGGACCTTTTTGGTCCTAATTGAACATCTAGAATTACTACTGGGTGTTAAATCTTTCTCTTAACTTGGGTGACCTGAAGTCTTTGCTGTTCAGTTACTCAGTTGTTGGTGCATGGCAGCCTTGTGAAAATAGATGATGCTTTTTCAGGGCTAAGCAGCACTGACCTGGCTACATCTCATGATCATCAGGCTGCAACTGCATGAATTGTTGAGCACTGACGTATTCTTAATCATAAATAGTGTTAATATCTCAGAGGGAAGTTTAGCTTTTTTCAGGGCTTTGAAGAAGTTGTGCAATAAGCCCTTGTTGCCTTGCCCTGGAGTGTTCGACTTAAACTTAGGTCTGTTTCCTGAGGCACAGATTTAATATATGGGAGACTATGGCCTCCTCGGTGATGGCTTTAGGTTACTATTCTAATTTAAGAAGTTTCTGGCTCTGTGGGAGGCTTCCCCCCCACTCCCCCCTCTTTAACTGTGTGTGTGGCTATGCTCATATCGAATGACTTCGCAGATCCAGTACAATAAAAACGAGCCGCAAAAGCCTGTGGGCATGCTTGCGTGTTTGACAAGATCATTCCCCAGCTCTCATTTTGTGTGGCTACACAAAAAATTCTGTGAATAAAATGCCCCTGTGTGTGTGTTTAGATGTAATGCTTAGAGATTTGATATATGGTTTCGGTACAGGACTACACTTTGGCCCAGGCAGGAAAACAAAATCTGTAGGATTCACCTTAGTATGTCCTTGTAAGAACGTCTCACCAAGCTGGAGCTGCTGGTTCACGACTGTCGCTGGCTCTGCTCTGGGCCTGCTGTGGATTTTCTGGATTATCTTTAATGGTTTTCAGTGCAGGATGGTCAGATTCACCAGATCCTCTACAATAAAATGTTTTATTTCCAAAATCACCTTCTTTGTAATCTATGAAGACCTGTCTGTTGGATGCTCAAAAGTGGTTATAATCAACTAAATGTGACTGAGAGTTTGTTTAAATCTACTTTTTGTTGGGTAACTAAAGAAAATAGCTATAAAAGGAAGTGTAATTGCAATAGGGACTGTTGCAGTAGCATTATTTTGGTATTTTTTTTACCCCCTTTTGACTAGAATCACTCAAAGAAGTGGCAATTTATATTCTGTTTTGAATTATATCTAGTACAAAACCACAACAATCAAATTGTGTGGTGTTCTAAATTGGCACCGGTCTAAGCTAGAGGAGGATTAACCTTGTACTGCCATTGTTTGTTCTGAGCGTGTTGAATTTGCTGGTGTTGTATAAGTTTTTTCCATACAGAAAACAAGGAAATAATATTGATAAGAAAACACAATACGGATGCTGGGACTGTTTCACAAGATAAGATTTAGATTTCCGAATATACTTGAATGGGAGTCAATCGTCCTTTTGGGTGCCCGACGACTATAGCGGAGTGTCTCTGAACTGAAAGAAAACAATGAAACGTAAGAGTGACCTGCTGAAAAACACCCTGCGTGATGGAAAGGGAAAGGCATCGGCAGAAGTGTTGTCTCTTACAGTGTTAGCATGAAGAGATTAATATGTGCATTGTCCAAACTAGATTAACTTGTTCTGTAGATTTTAAAGCCAGTCTTAAATAATCTGTGATACAGAGCTTTGAATTATTGCATGGTGGCTCTTATAATTAAAAGCAAACCAGTTAAGCAAGCACAGGGCCAGAGAGCGTATAAGCGAGTTAATCGGCTGAAACCCACACCTAGTAATCTCTTTCCTCCCTTCGTTGTATGCTGGGTTGAAGAGGTTGTGGTCTTCGAGTTCTATTAATTAATGCATTTAATCCTGAAGCTGGGTACTAGTAGCCTGCTGGCAGTTCCTCTAGCTTCTTACAATATGCCTTTACACCTCTATTTTTAATGCTTCTTGCCCTTTATTACAGTTGGATGATTCAGCCGTTCATGCGTCCATAACTTCATTTTAATGTAGTTTCTTCTTTTTTCTTACTTGTTAACAAACCTTTTGAAGTCTCCTACGTATCAAATTCATCACATAAAAAACACTTGAGAGCTGTTGCTGCACACTAGGTAGGACCTTCTCTTTCTCGTGCCTCTGTGTGTTGGAGTGCAAACTAGAGGCTTCAGCTGACCATTACTTAAATATTTGTCTCCTGCACTGCACGAACCTGTTCATACCTTCCCCTCGTACGTCCTTGTTATCAAATACGAGGAAATGCATCGTTTTGCTGCATCCCATAATATACTGCAGCCATAATTGTCACTAATCTAATGGCACTTCTGTGTCTGGACTTGCTTTTGGTGGTCTTGGTCCTTCCAGCCTGTACAGGGTCTAGGCAGTGGTGCTCCTTAGGGGTTTCCAAGCATGCTCAGGGTGCAGTGCCTCTGGCTGGGACCTGTATCGACACCTATAACCTCCATTTCCTGATCGCCTCCTTTTTTTTCAGTGCCTGTATGCTTTTGGGAAGGCATGTCTCCTTTTTAATCTCTCCTGAGCTGAGGTGGTAAAGCAGCCTTTGAAGTAGTTTGCCTTGGGATATCATTCCTTTCCCTGGCTTAGGGGAACTTTCTCAATCCAGCCGATGTTTTGTGGCTCGCAGGTTCTTGAGTTGCGTGATTTCTCTTTTGATGAGCCCTTCTTAGGCAGGAGCTGTCTTGTGCCTGAAGCTGTCTCCCCTTCCAGCAGATCTGGAAAGCTAAATGCCAGTTTTAGAGCCTATCTATTTAGCTTGCTGTTGCTACGCGGGGGAAGCCGTGCTCTCCCTCTGGGCTTTGTGCTTTCTTTCCCTACCTTGGTCTCACCTACACTGACCATGTTCAACACTCAACACAGTCAAAAATCATGTTTTCTTCTGCAGGGTTAAAGTTAGTTAGGAAAGGGCGTCAGGGCTGGTACAGGGAGGAGAGCAAGACCATGAAGAAGGGAAAAGAGCAGATGAGTTATCTCCCCTTCTTCCTCCCAGGGCAGTAAAATGTTGGTTTGACTCATCTGTAATATGTGAATTCATCCTAATGCAGCAAGGAAGACTGATAGGCTTTTGCTGGGTGCTCTCCTGTGCTAGCTTGCTGCCTAGCACACTGGTACTAGTTCTAGCATGAAGGAGGGTCAGAAAATGCACTCAGGTATGAGGAGGGTGGGATTGTGAGATTTACATCGCGCTAAGCTTCCCTGTTGCTTCTTGCCTTCGGGGCGGGGGGACCCCCAAACACAAAAATGCTTGTGGGGAAGGGGTTACAGGCAACACTTCTGCTTCTGCCCCGTAGATGTTCTGATTGCTGTGGGTTACTGGAGTTATCAGAGATGCTTGAATTTTTGCTGGCTGCAGTGATTTTTTTTTTTTTTTTTTTTTTTGAAAGGTGGGGAAGAGAACAGCAAACATTTCTAAGGTTACCAAGAGTCAAGTGTTTCAAGTAAAGAGCTGTAAATAAGTAAATCTAGAAATATAATGGTCTCCATCAGTGTGGAAGCAATCTGTAGAAGCCTATACTCGTAGTTCAGCAGCGAACCGGCGTCTTCTGAGCGCTTCTGTGCTTTTGGGAAACGCACAGCGTGCTCCCCTTGTCCCGGCAGCACCGGCCCCGTGCGCAGGATGTGACCTGCGCTGCCTAGTGCAGGCGGTTCGTGCCTGCCCAGAAGCTGTCAGGAAGTGGCAAAAGTACAGTCTGTCAGCACCTGGACTGTGTTTTATTTCCTTTTTCGGCTTCACCCCATTTGTTTAAGCAGAAATATGCCCTAGAACTTGGCTTACTTGTTTGGGGTTTTGTAAATTCCATTAAAAAAAAAAAAAAGTAGGCAAACAAGTTCTGTTTGTGCTCAGCTGACCTTGCAGATCTGGACCAAATTTTAATTAATAGGTTGATTTGCTTCCAAAGTTATATCTGTGGTTCCTTTTTTTTTTTTTAAATTAAGATAAACCCTCAGGGGTACAGGTGAAAAAGAACTTGGCTTACTTGTTTGGGGTTTTGTAAATTCCATTAAAAAAAAAAAAAAAGTAGGCAAACAAGTTCTGTTTGTGCTCAGCTGACCTTGCAGATCTGGACCAAATTTTAATTAATAGGTTGATTTGCTTCCAAAGTTATATCTGTGGTTCCTTTTTTTTTTTTTAAATTAGATCAAGCCTCAGAGGTACAGGTGACAATGATGCTGACTGAAAGCTGTAAACTCAGAGGACTTCATCACAGGTAAGTTAAGCAGTGTTTATAAGCAAAACTGTATCTGTGTGAGCTGAAAATACTTGTGCTTCATGTTCCTTAGGGGAGAAGAAACAAATTTTTTTTCCAAATTCAGCAACATATTGTATGTTTGAAATTTCTTTTGAGCCATGAAGAGCAGAAACTATTTTTGTGTCACTTTAAAATACAGAATTCTAGACACACTTCTTATTGCAAAGAGTGCTTATAAGCTTTTTCCCCAGCTGCGCAGTCCATAAAATCAAATGGTAGTGGTGTGCAGGGAAAATGGGGAGAGCCTTTGGTTTGGTGTTCCAAGCCTCGCAGTGAAATATGGGTAGATATTACTTTTATATCTTCTTAGTTATTACAGGAAAGGTGCTGCAGGCACATGTTGGTTGACGCTGGTTCTTGCACAGGCTAGTTGTTATATGTGGCGGGATCTTAGTGATGACAAGAGTAATATATGCAGGTTGATTGTCAGTTTAGCTGATCTACTAATAATTGTCTACATGGCACAGAGAAGTACTGTGATTAGGTACGGTCCCACACGGATACAAGGAAACGCTTTTTAGGGCTCTCGCACGTGTGTTGTCCTGGTATGGCATAATCATATAACTGATGGGATTTATTCCTTAAGAATTAATGGCATGGTTCTTGGGGGTGGTGGCTCAAGTTTTTGAATCGATGCCCCAAACAGCTTGAGTTAGTGGCAGTTTTGCAGCTTGGATTAAAGGCCGAAATTGGCCTTAAAGATCTTCGTTACTGGCAAGGTTGCAGGTAAGAAGAAACCTACGTTCATAGCCAAATCCCTAGACTGGTAGTTGATCTTTTTTACTGGTAATGTGAAGGAAATTAAAATAGTTCCATCAGAATTATTAGTTCTACAGTGCATTTAAAAGTTGCTTTTCCAAGAGCTATTATAGTTAAGGCCTTTCCTAAAATACAGGATTGTATTAAGAGGAGTAGGAGGTTCTTGAGGAAACATACTTAAAATCGAAACAAAATTACACAGCCCCCCCTCACATCATACAAAATCAGCTGTTACCCTCCCTGTTACAAATTAAACTCCTGAAAAAGTCCAAAAAGCTTTTCTTCTGTACACCGCCTATAAAGCCAGGACCTTTGTCTTGATCAAAGGTGGAGCCACATGGGTATGTAGAGCTCATGGGTGTGACACCTGGCATCTTCAAGTTAGAACAGGAAATTCCCAGGTTCCCTTTTAAAAATCACTATAACTCACTGGAGACTTATTACTAATATGTTTTCAATAGAAGATACAGTTTTTAAAAAAAAAGTTTCATGGAAAATTGAAACTATATATGGTTTGTTTCAAGTTTCTACAACTTCATATGTTGATATTATAGGAAGATGTTTAGAAACAATGCAGCATGGGGGTTATCTGGGCCATAAGGAGGGTTAGAGGGGACCTTTAAAGTGGTTTAGTGGTGGACTTGGCAGTGTTAGGTCTATGGCTGGAGTCAATGATCTTAAAGGTCTTTTCCAACCTAAATGATTCTGTGATTCTAGAACACCTGGGATAAAACTCCTCAGATATTTCTGCATTTAGATGGCAATTTAGTGTTTAGTTGATGCAAAACTAAAATTTTCTGTTCTGTTATTTTTCAAGTGGATCAAACATGATGTTTTGACTTTTTTGTAAACCACTGTAATAGACCTAATAAATTTCATATCTATAGTTGCATTTAGGATGATACACTTCCAAGTTGAGGACATATCCCTTCTTAATATAAGTGATAACCTGTATTCACAGAAACTGATTTCAGCCCCTTTTGGACCAAGTGAAAAAACTTGGAGGGCTCTTCCTAATGGGAAAGTACTCAAATATCTCATTAAAAAAATAAAATTGTCTAGGCCTTTAGTTATCTGGAGACCTTATGCTCTGCAATTCATAATGCAAGATTAAATGCTTTTCTTCAATGTTGAATTGCTTTAACTTACTATATTTAGGGCTCGAGAAGACCTTTATCAAATTTCAGTTTAATGAAATTAGGAATTTCTCTCCCTGTCTTCCAGGAATCTGCTGCCTATCACTCATGTCTGTATAGAGGAGGGAGAGAAACCAATGGTGCTGCTGCCTTACATGAACTGGGGGAACCTTAAACTATTCTTGCGACAGTGCAAGCTGGTAGAGGCCAACAATCCTCAGGTACACTCAGAAATCTTGTCATTAAACGTAGACTTGGTTTGTCATCTGTGTATGTGCCTTAAAAGAAATAGTTGTGGTATTTGCCTGTTCTGTTGTGACAATGAGAGAAGGTTCCCTAGCAAGTGTTTGTCTTTATTCATACAAGGAAAACATTCTTGGCTGTGTTTATCACAGATGTTCAGAGGGCATGAAGCTGAGTTAAACTCTGATTAGAGTAGTAGCTGGTATAGCAATATATCTTAAAAAAAATACTAAAAATTAGATAAAATGGTGTATGATTGTAGATTTAAGTTAGAATACACAGGGGAAAATAGTCTGTGGAGAAGTTTCGGATTTACTGATTTTATTTTTGGTATAATTAATAGGTTATCCCTTTACTGTAGTTCTCAATTATTTTATTGTAAGCATAAAGCACTTCTGTTAAATTTTTAAGGTGCTGCTGTAGATTTGCTATTAAGTAAAATAACTGGATTTATTTAACTTTAGATACTAAAAGAAGCCATCTCTGATTTTTTTTTTAAATGTCTTACTTCTGTGGGTGCTCTCTAGCATTCATAACTTCACTGTATTTCAGTGGAACCTGTTGCATATATTTCATGAGGAGTGAGAAAGAAAATACTCCTAGATACGTTGCCTATTTTTAAAAATCTGGATAAGCGTTTAGTGATGGATGTGTATATGCATTAAAGCTATCCCCCTTGTTAGGATTACCTTGTCTTTTCTTCAACTTCACCTTGGTTTGGTTTCAGTCCTTAGGCTAAATCAAGCACAAAGTGAAATCTTGTTTCCTGAGGTCAGCTTTTGTCCCGGTTATGTACCGGATTTCAAACTAACAAGGGCCATCTACCTCTGTTAATTTACAAGTTGTGATAAGATGCTGGGATCTTTCAGTGTTGATTTTACTTGTTTTGCTGCTTAATCCGAGTTATAAATCCCTATACAACGCACCAGTATCCCTTTCCAAGAATTTAAGCAGAAATGGTATTTATAATCTGTATTATGTCAAACAGGAGTTGCCTCCTAGTGACTAGGTATGACTGTACTTAACTGTCAAAAAATGGGGCATTTGGTGTCCTAGATACTTATTTTAAGATGGAACTTTTCTACAAATACCTGAAGCAAGTTCTTGAGTTTTCTGAAATAATAACATGGCTGCTGTTCTTAATAACAGCCTGTTAATGAGGAAGCCAGTTTATTATTGTTTTACTTTAGTATTTGGTTTATTTTAACCCCAGTCTTGCCACTTACGTGTGTCCAGCTACATACTGAAGTTTCTGAAACACTGTGGAAATGGAAGAGTGAACCCAGGGTCTAAATACATGCAAGGGTTTAATTTCTATAGGACTGAAGTTGTAAAAGTAGATGGAGCAACAGCCTTTGATACTAGTTTTCAGCAACAGATAGCAACAAGAATTTTGACTGCTGTTTGTGCTCTGCTGCCTGAAAATGAGTTGGCTAAGTGAAAAAAGTGTGGTAAGAAGGGTAAAATTGACCATTTTTTGCCTATGTTCACCCCTAATCAAAGGAAAAGCTGTGTAGCAGTGAGGCAGTTGCAAATTGGGAACATTTGCCCCTGGCATGTCAAAAAAAAAAAAAAAGTTAAAATGTAAAATAAGGAGTCTTCATAAGTTTTCAAGATGTGGTAAGGTCTGTAATAAGGTACTGGAAAGCATCAGCCACCAAAAGTGAGGAGAGGGGGCACTAGAATACTACAAAAACACTGACCTAGCAGGCACTGGGCTTGCAGTTTTGCAATGATTGTTCTTCTGTGCTCTTGCAGGCAATTTCCCAGCAGGATCTTGTACATATGGCTATTCAGATTGCCTGTGGAATGAGTTATTTGGCCAGACGGGAGGTCATTCATAAAGACCTGGCTGCTAGAAACTGTGTGTAAGTACTCAACGGGGTAGAGTCATGATGCAGGCAATGTTACGTTGGTAGCTAGGGCTAGGATGGGCTTTCTCCAATTGACCTGAACTTTACCACTGTGTGGTTTTTTCCCAAATTTTGGGTGAATGGTCTTGTCAGTGAAGTTGTTTTCCTCTAAACAGAAGGTGAACCAGAAAGCATAGTTTTCAAGAAAGCAGAATATCCTCATCTTAAATACTTTTGCTAGGTTTTGTCTGTCATTTTTTTTTTTCCAAAGTCTTGAAAAATACAAAAGTTTCCCTTAAACTTTAATAAAAACTTAGAATATCTTTGGCTGTTTACCAATGGATAGATTTTTGTATGAAGTTGGTGTTCTTAATTTTTTTCTTTAAAAAAAAAAAATAGCCTAGTGGCTTTGATTGCTGGTAGATTTCTTAGTTGTCAAATGATGGATAGATATGAATGTGCTCTGTAAATGGTAGAAATGCTGAAGTGGGAGTTGAGACCATCTTCTGACTGGATTATGCCCTCAAAATACAGAGATTATTTGAGGTGTTCGGTGGTTTTCTATAGACCAAATCACTCGGAGACCACCAGCTGTGCTCATTCTCCACCTGCTTTCATAGGGGCAACATAGAAAATACAGGGTTCTGCCTAAACTTAACTAAACATCTGAAAATATCTAAAGGGGCAGTTAGTCCATGAGCTTAGTCCTAGGATATCTGCAAACAACATCACAATTCAAGTAACACAGTTACTTTTCAGAATTCAAGACCACGTTTGAAGCCTTGAATTCAATTTCTTGATTTGGAGAAACGCTTCTCCTTTTTGCCTCCCCCCACCCCGCCCCCAAAGGACATGTGCCAGTCTCTTAACGAACTAGCAATGAAAGAAAAAGGAAAGAGAAGCAACCTCTGGGTTATACCCCAGAGCTGTGTACAAAGTGTCGGTCAATGAAGTAACTGAACTACTGATGAATATAAAGTCTTTAATGTGAAATTGGCTATTAGAGGTGATTTTGAGATTTGATGAGCTCTGCTTTATCGTAAATAATTTCATTTATGAACTAGAACATCATCATCAGATCACTCGGCATGAACGTACATCTTGCATTCCCTCAGTTACGATGCTTCATTTATTTTTTGGAAGAAAATAAAATGCCTTATGGTCTAGCCATTTTCTTAACTCTTCTTCTGTCTGTTTTATGAAAATATTGTTGATAAACTAGTTAATTTCTCAGGATTGCTGCCCAAATCTGTCTGGCCCTGTCTTCTGCCAGCGCAAGGGTGCAAAGACTCTAGCACACTCCTGAATCTCCAGGCTTCTCAGTTGCCTGGGCAGGAGTGACTGGGTCACTGTCTCAGTTCCTGCTCTTTGGCTTCTATACCATTCAACTTTTTGCTTTGTGAATTTTTTTTCCTTATTTGCCATCATGCTTTCCAAGATACCTGTCGCGGTTTAGCCCCAGCCAGCAACTAAGCCCCATGCAGCCGCTCGCTTACTCCCCCACAATGGGACAGGGGACAGAATTGGAAGAGTAAAAGTGAGGAAATTCATGGTTTGAGATAAAGACAGTTTAATAGGGAAAGCAAAAGCTACGCACAAGCAGAACAAACCAAGGAATTCATTCACTACTCCCCGTCAGCAGGCAGGGGTTCAGCCGACTCCAGGGAAGCAGGGCTCCATCACGCATAACGGTTTCTTGGGAAGGCAGACACCATCACTCCCAATGTCCTTCCACCCCTTTCTTCTTCTTCATCCCAGCTTTATATACCAAGCATGATGTCATATGGTATGGCATATCCCTTTGGCCAGCCTGGGTCAGCTGTCCTGGCTGTGTCCCCTCCCAGCTCTCCATGCCCCCCCAGCCTTCTCGCTGGCAGGCCAGCACGAGAAGCTGGACTGTCCTTGACTACTTAGCAACAACTCAAAACATCAGCATGCAATCAACATTTTCTCATCCCAAATCCAAAACATAGCCTCAGACTAGCTTCTGTGAAGAAAATTAACTCTATCCTGGCTGAAACCAGGACAATACCCTTGGAAGTATCTCCTAGGATCCTCAAGGCATCAGTCCCTCCTTCAGGGCACAATTGTTGAACCAGCTTGTTGTATCTCTTCTTGACCGGGGGTTTGCTTTGATTTTTTTCCTATGTAGTCCTTGAAGTGGAAGCTCAGTTTCTGTCTTTGCACTTTTCATGGACTGCATGCTCTTCTAGTGTATTGTCTGCCTTGGGGCCATGCCACTGGTGTCTGTTAAGAGACCTGTGAACGTCTGGCTCAGCAATTAATAGTAAAATGTGGGTCACATTCCCCACAACAGGATGGGTCCTGGTCCTGAGATTTGGATGGACTTCTCTGCCTAGCCCCTTGGGGTTGTCAGTGGTCACTATTGCTACAACTTTTGTCCCTCACGCTTGTGTCCACAAAACCGTGCGGTCCTGCCAGGTGCGGTCTTTGGTCCTGTTCTTCAAACATCCCAACCAGGGCCAACAAAGCTTCTGACGTTGCATTACAGGGTCTGATAGAGAAAGCTGGGAGATGCTTAAGCACTCATGCTTGTCCTGGGATATTCTTTTATCTACTGCACGTGCTCTACTGGCAGCACTGGCACCAGGCACTGTTGGTGTAGCAAATGCTGGGACAGAGGGAGCCTGCAGCCATCCCTTGTGCTTTTGAACTGGTGCCACCAAGTTAGTCCAGCAGAATCTTTCCTGACTCTTACACTGTGTAAGGATGCTCAGTTTGATACAGTTCCTTAGAGACTTTTTTCCTAATTCCTTTTGCTTTTCCTCTCTGGTGAACATGATGAGGAAGAAGTGGTACCACGGGAGACAAAGATCATAAACTGCTTCAGGGAAATTACCTTGTGACAACCTCTCATTTCTGTGCAGTGAATTAATTGCCTCGTGCCCTTGCTGCGCGATGGGTCGGTAGTCCAGACAGCTTGACTCTCTGCCCTCCTGGGGCAAAGTCCAGCTTTGCTTTAGTTGACGTACATGTGATCTGGAGTTCTGGCAATAAAAATCAATTTGCAGTGCACCTGGCACTACTTCTGCATGGGACATGCAGGCAGGAGCCGAGCATCTACTGATCTGTGCTGCAGTACCAGGAGTCCTGCGCTAGCCTAAAGAGAAAAAGAGGGTGCCAGTAGCCAGGATTCCTTGAAGGGCTTTGTTCTACTGCCATCCCTTTGTTCCCTGGGTCTGTTCCTGTGGGGTGAAAGACAGGGAGGAGTTGATATAAAGTGTATCAGACCTATGTACCTCTGCCTTAATTTTGGGGAGAGAGCCAGGATTGCAGAGGTCTTGGCAGGTTCATTACGGGAGGAAATACTTTTGGTCTCAAATGCCTATGGCACGGTTGGGCCCAGGTAGGGTGGGCATACACAAGTCAGAGCTCTCTAGTCACGGGAATATTACCCTTTGTGTTGTATTTGTTTATAGACAGGTCTTCTAGGAATTTCTCTGAACTCTTAAGAGTGATTAGATATGGAGATTTCCTGGTCTATAAATTTTGAGAGCAGTGAACTGACCTGAAAGTGCATAGAATAAGGTAAATAAGATACTCAAGTATCTTGTGGGGAACACACAAATTAAGCATTTCTATTTAATTTTTCTCATCAAAATAAATAAATACTTGACAAAATGAAAAGTCAGAAAACATCGGGTTTTTTTTACAACCCTCCAAACCCGATGTTATTTCTGTATTTTTGTCGTAAGATGTTAAAGCTAACATCTTACCCATATTATGAAGTCAGATGTTGATGGGAAATTCCAACTTTATTAGACACTTTTTTTAAAGTTCAAAAGAGCATGAATTGACAGCCCAGAAGGGGAGAAAAAAATCAGTAGGCTCTGTGTGCTTTTTTGAGGCATCTTTTTTTGATTAAAAGTAAGTTTCCCTTAGCCAATATCCTATTTCTGACAACAGTCAGAATTAATATCTTTTATTGAGGGAATAAATAATATCTCACCAGAGCAAATGGTATTGCTTGATTAGAGACAAGCTTTTAGGCTACAGATAATATCAGTTGCTTTAACAAGATATTACTAGATCTTGCTTTGCTTAAAACTTTGGCTCATTATTGCTATAGAGGTACGATAGCAAAAATTAATTTAATTGAACTGAAAGGCCATATCCAAGAGAGCAGGAATAATTTAAGGGAGTTATTTGTTTGCTTTAACTGTATTTTTTTTTACTTGTAAATGTTTGATTTTATTTAATCTAAGACTGCCGATTTTTCTAGTGCTTATCTGTTAACGCAGAATAAACGCTTTTTTGATAATATTTGATAATCACAGAATAAGCATGTCTCGATCTAGCCCTTTGAAGCTGATAGTGTGATTAGCATTCCCCAATTAAATCCCAAGCCGGAAACTTAAGGGTGAGCATAAATATTTTCTGTAAAACTGTAATGCCAAGTTTGCTAAATACTTCTGTTCTTTTAAATTAGCATTGACGATGCACTTCAGGTTAAGATTACAGACAATGCGCTATCTCGAGACCTATTTCCTATGGACTACCATTGCCTGGGAGATAATGAAAACAGACCAGTTCGATGGATGGCTCTCGAAAGCCTGGTTAACAATGAATTTTCCAGTGCTAGTGATGTGGTAAGTTGTTTGGTTGTTTTTTTTTCACTTACATTTTGTAAATGAGCTTTGTTGACATTTTTCCCTTTTTTCAGCCATTGGAGAATCATAGCGCTGAATAGATAAGTTATTTGTCCAGAACAGCATCTGTACACCTGCTTCCTCCACTTGCTGCTCGTGGCAGATAGTTCAAAGGTTGAGCAGACCCTTCTTGCATGGCAAAATTGTCTGTCACACCCTGTTCTCCCTGGTAGCGTTAGCAGGAAAGGCAATTAAACTCAGTGAGCAATCTGTACTGGGACTTGTCTGCTATTTAAATGAACACGATCCAGAGGTCACAACAGAGTATTTTGGTTGCAGTCTCACAGACAAAGAGAAGAATCATTTCCCTTGGCCTGCTGGCTCTACTCATGCTAACACAGCCCAGAACCCAGCTGGCTTTTTTTGCTTCAAGAGCATGCTGCTGATGTGGTCAGCTTCTTCACCAGGTCCTTTTCTGCAAAGCCGCTTTCTAGGCAGTCAGCCTCAGCCCGTCCCGGCGCATGGAGCTATTCCTTCCCACATGCGGGACTTCACATTTGCTTTCCTTGATCTTTGAGGTTCCTGTCAGCCTGTTTCTCCAGCTTCTCGAGGTCCTTCTGCACAACCCTGCCCTCCAGCCTGTCAGCCACTCTGCCCGGATTGAAATCATCCACAAACTTCCTGAGAGTCCGGGCTGTTAAGGAAGATAAACTAGTATTGATTCCTGAGCCATGCCACTAGTAACTGGCTGCTAGTTGGATTAGTACTGCTGATCACAGCAATCTGAGTCCAATAGTACAGCCACTTTAACGTCAACATCTCACTGATTTGGCTCTAAGGATGCTATGGCAGATGATGTCAGAGGCCTTGCTGAAGTCAAGGTGAACATCCCTTGCTCAGCCCGTGTTCGCTAAACACTATCTTCTCGACAAAGAATTACTGAGGTTCAGTGCCCTTGATAAATCCACGCTGGCTGTTCCCAGACACCTTTGTTTCATACACATGGAAGTGACTTCCAGGATCATGTGCTCCCTAGCATTAGCTGATGTTAGACTGTCCGGCCCGTAGTTCCCTGGATCCCACCTCTTCAAGAGGATGCCTGTTTCCCACTTGTCACCAACCACCCCCAGTTGCGGTGGCCTTTCAAAGATGATGAGAGCAGCGTTGCAGTGACTTCAGCCTGCTCCCTCGGCACCCGTGGATGCATCCCATCTGGTACGGTGGTCTGGTGTGTCCGCGCTTGGCTTCAGTGCAGCCTGAAGGTTTCTCTCGGCGGGCATTTCTTGGTAGTTTTAACTCTGCTGAGCTTTGGTTTTCCAGACTGCAGCCCTGTGTGCCGATGCATTCTCACTGTGTTCCTCGAGTAGCCTTCTCCTGCCTCTGCCTTAGTGTCTGAAATCAGCGCATCCATGGTGGCCTTCTACCAGCTTCCCGCACATCAGGGCTGTTCTTGTGCTTACAGGAGCTTGTCCTTGAAGATCAGCCTGTAGTAATTTGAGTGCTAATTAATGGTAAAGGACTTGCCCTTATGATCTGTGTTTTCCTTCTAAGGGGGTATTTTCTTTGGTAATGCTGCTCTCCTTAACATGGCTACATCCAGAGACAGTAATCTGCATCTTAAAATGTGCTAGCTTAGAAAACCTTTGAAAAGTTCTGGTTGTTTTTTTTTCCCCCTCTCATTGCCATGGTCTCTGTACTAGTGTTCAAGTCACATAAACAAACAAACAAAAAAAAAGGGAGTCAGCTCTGCTCCAGAAATACTTCTGTACCCATTGGAAAATGCGTGGGGTTTTGTATTATACCAAACTTGAAGACAGAACAGGAAATAAAAGTTGCCTGTAAAAGCATGTTTTTATAAAACTAAATGGGATCAATTTAAATGTTGCTTTCTTTTTTTTATTTTAATCTGGAACATGAAAGCATTCACTGTTTGTGAAGACTGGACTTGGAAATAAAAGCTTATGTAACACTGGTAGTGAAACCTAGAATTTTATTAGGATGAAGGCACCTCAGTATCGTGACCAATTCAGAGAACTCTAGTGCAATTCAGCATATATTCCACACTATTTCAACGCAGAATTCCTTTTTGCATTATATAGGCATCAATGCAATTCAGCTTCTAGTACATAGTTATTAACTTTGCATATGTTGCTCTCTGACTTCTGCAGGGTGCAAAAATGGCCAGTTTTTCTAAGTGTAGAAAATACTATCTGCCCTAAATATCATCTTTGCATTTACCTGGATGTTTTTCACAATTGTGGTGTAACATGTTTTCGTCTACTTGCTAGGAACAAATCTAGCTATCAGTTGCATGTAACTTATAATCGGTGGTGAAATCTGTTACAAACAGTTTAGGTGGTGTCTGCTAAGATGCAGTTGGCACGCGTTCTAGGCTTGCTTTTTGGATGCATTTCTTTTAAATGGTTTTGCTGGCTTGAAACATTTCTAGCATGTTCCTCCTCTGCCAACAGTTATATCAGTCAGCCAAAGCGTAGAAAAACAACATGATTCCTGTTGAATTTTAATTCTGTGGGTGTTTTTCCCCTCTGTTGGAATGAAGCTCTGCATCTCTTTACGCCGTTTTTATGCCGTTACTTATGGAATTAGATGTAGCTATATGCTCAAAGCAGTATTCTGCCTGCCCACGCTGCTAATATATGGCTGTTGAGAGCGGGGCCACATCCGTGCCCCTGCCATTCTCTAGCTCTGTGCTTCCCATCACTGACAGCATCCTTTAATTAAGGCTTTGCTCGAGAGGGGGGCGGGGCTTCTTTTCATGAAAACCAAGGATCTTCTGAGGTTTGCAGAATTCTGCCCCTTTTTAATAAATGATGATGTTTGCAGCATTTGTAACTTCAGCAGTGAATCATCAGCGTGCAGTATCAGCACCATCTATGTCTTGTCTCTTGGGTCTTTTGATACCAGCTAGTAAATCATTTTACTTGTACTGTGCTGGCACATGAATTGATCGATTTTTCATCACCTTACGCTCCTTTTGGCAAATATTGGTGGCTGAATGTGTTGAATGCTAATCCAGCTGTCAGGTTTACTTAGATGAAATCTTTATTTTTCTCATTAATCCTACTTCTGAAAATATACTCCAAGTATACAGATTATTTAAAAAAATGATGGTTTCATTCAGTCTGCTCTTCTGAACCTAGGAATTTCACAGAACTCATAGGAATTTTGTGTAGTGTTTTCAAGAGGTAAAATGTAACATTAAATTGTTAATTTTTTCAGAAGAGCAAGTTTAGTGTTTTTCCTTCGATTTGTTAAGTGTTTTGAAATGTCATGCTCGAAAAATGCAGTAAATACATGTTTTTTTTTTTAGCACTTAATTCTTAGTGCACTAAGAATTTCATTTTATTTCAACTTAACACCTGTTCTGTGATTCTTAATTGTCCCTATTCAAGACAAAGTATTGCCATGTTGAACTTGGATACATATAGCATTTATCTAAAGCTTTCTTAGTCTGTGTAGCCTTTCTTATGACTGATTTTGTGGAATGTCTGAAGGAGCTCTCAGAATTTGGCATGCTCTGTTAATGCTCTACAATTTCTTTTTAGTGGGCCTTCGGAGTAACGCTGTGGGAGCTGATGACTTTAGGACAGACTCCGTATGTCGATATCGACCCCTTTGAGATGGCTGCTTATTTAAAGGATGGCTATCGAATAGCTCAGCCAATCAACTGCCCTGATGAACTGTAAGTGCATGTTTTTGGAGAGAGGATAAAATGTCTATTTTGTAACCAACATGTTCAGCCAGCCTTGTCAATGAAACAGCCAACTTTGCCTTCCCTGCCTGTTTATTCTGCCTTTCAGGCTGACCCTCCTGTAAGTATTTGTGTGGCTTTAGTGACCTACCTCAAAAAAACTCAGGCTAAAATTAAATGCTTGGGTTTTTTTTTTTTCTGTTGAGTTTTGCTTAATCTTGACCCAACTCTTTTCTTCATTCTGACACATGGGAGAAATGGGGTTGATCAGCAGGATGGGAGGAGGGAGGCAAAGGGGCCAGGGGTTTTTAGCTTAGTGTTTGTGGGACTGCAGTGTAGGAAGGCACCAGGTTTGTAGGTAGAGGGAATGTCTGTTCTGTCAGCAAGACTATGGAGAAGTATGGTGTGTAATGGAGTTAAATGGCAGTGCTTGAGGTGTTTATTCATGATTCTAATGGTAGAGGAGACGTACCTTCTGCCTCACCTGTTCTTGTTCTTCTAAATCCCCTTCCTGTAAACCTACCGCAGAAACGCTTTGAACTATGCTTTTACAATAGTTGAGCAATTTCCAATGAATTATGTATTGCTTCCTCCTGGATTGCCTCTGACTTGTAACCTAAATCAAACCAGCGCTTTCAGTGTCACAGCACATTTATTGATCATTTTGGGTGTCTGAAGGAGTTGTTCAGCATTGTTCATCAGAAGGTACAGGGTTCCTTTTCTCTTTGTGGTCAGCAGGTTTTCTAGTGGCAAATGCTGTTTTTCATTTTCAGGTTGGGACTGTGGTCACCTGGCTTACGTTCTCATGTCTTCCATTTGTCTTTGCCTCGCAGGTTTGCTGTGATGGCCTGCTGTTGGGCCCTAGATCCTGAAGAAAGACCCAAGTTTCAGCAGCTGGTGCAATGTCTAACTGAATTTCATGCAGCATTGGGAGCCTACGTCTGAAACTGCAGAAGAAGATTCAATTCACTGATTGGGAGAAGGCATGGCATACACCTGCAGCTCCATGCATCATTCGGACTCACACACGTGATGTGTATAAAGCAACACCAAAGGGAGAAAGCACTTCTTCCAAAACACTGTGCCTTAGAATGCTTTAGTAGTCTGAAGTTTTTTGTAAGACCTCTTGATGTTGAATATTTTCTAGATATCACTTTTGCTAAGTTAAATTGAGACCTTTTTATTTGCCATCAGAATTTTTAAAGTGTAGTGATAGTGAACTTAAACACGAGATTTGGATGGACTTTGCACTCTTAGGACAGACACATGATTTTTTTTGAAGGGTATATGGAACTGGTAGAAAAGTGAGGATAGGGGAAATTCATGCAAAAGCCACACTGCAGAAAATTTTCCCTGCTTTTTAAAAATGTTGAAACTGAATCTTTCTGGCCAGCTCTAGTGTTTGTACTTGTATGTATCTGGAATAGCTTTTTAGTATCAACTTCTTCTATTTTGAGACAACAGCACATTGTGGTTGGATCCACAAGCGGCATCTTACTTTTTTTTAACCCATTCATGAATGTTTTTTGGAAAAGCTGGTCTTCAGGATACAATATCCCCTTTTTAAAAGCAGTAAGTGATTATGTAAAAGTGATTCCAGTTTACCTCATACAGAGAGTAGTAGAGGTGGGGTAAAAAAGGTGCCCCTCCTTTCAGATAAAAGGCTGATGTGACTTTTTTTAAGATGGTTTTATGTGCTAAATAGAGGCCTTCAGAGAAGCGCCAAAGCAGCCCTTATGTGGGAGTCTTTCACCTCAGACTTCTGGATTGCAGTTTCTCTTGTTTAAAAAGGTACTGGTTGTTTTTTATGGGCTTTTATGGCCTGAAATGGGCTTAAATATATAAATATATATTTGTAAAGACACTTGCAGAGTAAAGAATGTTTTTCTATTACATCTAACGTGGAAGTTTGGTCCCTCACATTGCCCCGTGTATTGAAATTGCAGGTTGGTGGTTGTCACTGGGCTGGAGTTGGTATGAAGACAAGGTAGATTGCCTGCCTCCCTCCCTGCAGAACTAGTCCCTGAGACTTAAATATTGTCCTGGTGCCTTCTTTAGTCCAAATATCCACTCCACCCCAGGTTATTTTGAGTTGAACGTTACTCAGGAGGACTGAACATGGTATTTTAGGAAAACGTGTGGTGATCCATTCATTCAGCCTCAGTAACATTCATTATATGTAAGAAAGTTATCTGTGGAATAACTTCCAGTTCTCCAAATGAACTGTAGATTGCATCCTCTACATGGTGGCACCATGAGGCAGGTTGCACTTCAGCACAGTGTGAAACATGAACAATTGCCTTGCGTTTCACACCATCCTCAGAGTAAAGCACCCATAACCTCGAGTGTTTGTGCAGCTGCGTGGTTGGGAGCATTGCCCTGACAGGCTCTGTGGCGATTGTCGCATTTTATGAGACTCTAGTCTGCAAGTATGAGCAGCCGGATTTGGCTGTGTCATGCAGATGTGCAGCTTTTGTCCTTTTCAGAGTTCTGAACCTTGCTGAAGAAAATGAATGCTTTCTAATTAGTATCATATGAAGCAGAACTTTGTGCTGTCTGTTCTCAGTCTCGCAGGCTGCCCCTTTGCACTGCCGAGTTAAGATGGAATATTCCTCAAAACGCAGGTTTCCTATCTGTACTTTGGTGTTAGTTCTCTGTGGCTCGTGAACCAAGTCTTGCTTTATTTATCCTAGAAGGAAATTTGCCTGCTGGCTCAAGTTTGGGCATGTTATAATGGGCTGTGTTTGCTTGAATGAACTGAAACTGGTTTCATTTGGCTGGCTTTGGAGTTGCTGAGTTTGGGCATAGCAGTAAGGCTTTGGCTCTGTGGAATTCTGCCATCTCTTTCCTTTCTGACCCAGGAAAACTACTCAACGTCAGGACTTGTTTACAATGACTTGGTTGTTAAAGCTATCAGTGGCAGAGTTATTTGTGTCTGGATCTGTGGTGTTATGGGATCTACAGAGGTCATAGCTGTAAGGTCTGCCTGAGACTGGAAATCGGCCCGGGGTGAAAGCGGTATGTGTATTGTACGTACTTCACAGGGTAGCATCCATAGAGTGCACATTCAAGATGGATACCTTGCAAGATCCGTTCACATCTGATACCTATATCTGAAGTGACATCTGACCGCTGTGGCCGTAAGATGGGTTAGGGATGTACTGCACTTCAAGCTGCTCGGCTCAGTCAGCACTAGCTGTGGGAATGGTAAACTACGTCAGCTTTTCCTTTGATAGACTACTTCTCATCTACTCCCAGATGACTGTGCACAGCAGTAGAGACTGAGAAGTGGTTTAGTGTGGTGTTAAGGTATGGATACAACTATTAATTCTGGGAATGATACTTTCATTTAAACACGCTTCACCTACAGGGGTTAAAGGTAGGCATTTTCTGATAGCAGAGCTACCTTGAGTAGATACCTTGCAGGTGTTTATTACACCTAAGATTGCAAATAACTTTCATGCTGGCATTTTTCTTCACTGCTGCATGTGATACATCTTAGCTCCCTGGCCTTTTAGGAAAGTTCTTGAGGAGCAGGTCACTTGGGTAGAAGATTGAACATACAGACTTTCTGGAAGGAGAATGCTATCAGTAGCTTCTACTCTTAAAGTACACAGAAGAGTCTCAGTGTTGAAGTTTGGATTGATCAATACCTGTTACATGAATACAAATATACTCCCTCTTACCAAGGTCGAGTATGGCACCATGTTTCATGCTGGAGAGCCATCAAGAATGTGTTGATGATAGTCCTCAGGCTTACAAGCTCAAGTGGCAGACTAGGATGGAGGCGTATTTTGTCTTGACGAGAAGAGGATGAAAAAAGGGTGGCTGTTTTGGCCATACTAAACATAAATAGTCTTTCTTCACTCTTTTTTTCCAACTTGTCTGACTTTGAATGGGTGGTAACAGGGTCTGGCAGAGAGGTACAACCTTGTGGATTTGATGTGTAGAAAAGATGTTTTATATGTGGGAGGGCCTGGAGATATGAGCTAAAGGAGACAGAATCAAATTTCTGGGGAAAATAGAAGGGTGGGGGTGGACCAGTCCTCTCTGCTCTCAACCTTCTGGAGCATGATAGATCCTTGCCATGAGGTCTCTGTAATGTCACCAGAGACCTCCACAAGAGCCATTTCACTTGGAGTGCTGATGTTGAAACTCTATGGGAGGTCTTGTGGAGCGGGCTGGGGAAGCAGCTCTCCGTAGCACTCTTGGTGGGCTTAAAGATAAAAATGAGCAAACCATGTGGGATGAGGGTGGGTTTTGGAAATTATAGTGCTCCTGTATTAAGGAAAAGCTGGAGGAGAGCAGTAAAGGAAACAGTATGAGAGTGACCCTTGAGAGAGCTAGATGGAGCATGACTGGTAGTGAGTCAAGGAGGTAAAAGAACAGAAAGCTGTCGTTACAGGAAAGGGAGAAAATGAGGGGCTTCCAGGCTTTTTTTTTTCTTGGGGGGTGACTCTGGGTGAAAAAAATAGACAAGAAGAGGTAAAAGGCAAGAGGTGTTGAGCATTAAGTGCAAGGTGTCATGGGACTCCCTATGGAAGCAGAAGTCAGGGTTGGTTGGGAGGACTTATGATGGGGTAAGGCTCCAGAGTGAAGGAGGGGATCGAATCATGGAGAGAAGAAACAATGGGAAGAGAGGAGAAGGCTGAGCACAGACAATTCATCAACGATGGGTTGAGAGCTGTGGAGGTGCTAAATAAGGAATACGAAGAGCACCTGGAAAGGTGAAATGCTGCTCCATGTAACTCAAGAGATGCCTTGGAGGATCAAAGCACTCTTCTTGGCTGTCTTGGCCAGTCTTCACATTCAGATTATCCTCTGTTTCCCACTGCAGCTGTCTCCAGGTTTTCAGCAAAGGGTGAGGCTGGCATGGCAAAAGGAGGTGCACGTGAAGATGGTGCTGTTTGTTTCTACTAGAGGTGACCTTGTTTTATTGAAGTCGGGGGGTTTTTTTTTTTTTGGCTTGTGTTTGGCACTGAGAATTGGCACCCCACCCTGAAGTGTTTGTGTTTAGCCTTTGTGCTAGGATTTGTGAGAAGGTTTTCAACTATTTGCTCTGGAAAGACACGTGTGTGTGGGGTGTGCTCTAAACTAAGTGCATGGAAAGGGCTTGAGTCAGCTGGTGCTTTTCAGAAGAAAGTGGAATTATTGCTGAGACTGTAGAATTTGTGTAATGGTGTTGAGTTTTGAGCATTTTTGTGGTGGCTGATGGATACGAATCATTTTGAAGAAAACGAGGATAAAAAAAAAGGAGAAAAGTAATCTGTGAAGAGTGGTATGAGTGGGCATGGTGGTGTTGGGTTGACGGTTGGACTTGGTGATCTTAAAGGTCTTTTCCAACCTTAATGATTCTGTGATTCTGTGAGTGCATCAACCGCATATTGCGTGAGTACATTCCTCGCAGGTAAATCTGTGTACTTAGGGCCAGGTGCGAATTTGGCAGTCTTCTGCAGTTCAGTCCCATGGTCCCAGCTCTGAAATACTTACCTTTGAAAGTAGGCAAATACACCCGCCGCACACAAATACGAACGCCGGGGTTAAACCTCACTTGACAGGAATGAAAGCGAACAGGCACGAAGGGCGTTCCTGCAAGCATTGCTGTAGTGTTCTGGGAAGCGGCCCTTGGTGTATTTTCTAGCTAACGGTGTATCTTGTCAGCATGGCTCATGACCTGTAGTGCAAATCATCTGTGACCCAAGGATCGTGAGTGTTCAAGGCTGTGTTAACTCAGCTTAAGAGATCTCTGTTTGTCAGGTGAACTCTTCTTGGTGTTGGCAGATTGTTATTGCAGGATGCCAAGGGAGTCCAGCCATAGCCTTTGATCTCAGCATGGAAATTTTAGTGAGGAGCCATTGGAAGAAATAAAAGAAATCTGATGAAAATGAGAAAAAGGGCAGGCTGCCTCCTGAGGCTAGCAGCCTGCTGAGGACTGATGGGAGTGAGGCTTGATCCAAATAGCTTACTGGAGCCACAGAGTTGCCCGATAAGGAGCCAATCTGGCAGCTGAAATCTGCAGTGCTGCTGCTGGGGAGTGATACTTTTACACCCTTGCACATCCAGGTTCTTACAACCAGGTAAAGACGTGCCTGCAGCCATTCGTGTGCTCCATGTGGTGATGCTCTTGGTAATTGCTGCTTCCTCCCTAGTATCTTCTCTCTGGGGTGCTACTTTGCAAATACCAGATTGAAGTGGCATTGCAGGGAGGGAATATTTCGGGGGTGGAGGGAACATGCTTTATTTCTGATGGCTCATCTCCTTCCTATCTGGGGTGAACCTTGCCTCTCCTGACCTCTGACTGTATCTTGCCTTGGAACAATATCTTGTATATAGTGCTGCTAAGTACTTGCTAAGTGTTGCCTGTTTGATAAAAAGAGGAGGCTTGTATTACCATGCAGTAGCTCTGTAGCGGAAGGCAAGGTTTGATTGTAAAATTCAGTAGTTTTGGGGGTCAGTTATTGGCCTGACTGGGGCTTAGGACTCGGGAAGGGTTGGTATGTGATCTCACACGCTGGCTTATATTGGTGTCCTAGAGCCCCAGCAGCACCGCA